GTAATGTAAATGCCTTAGAATAAGAGCAGACCTTCTGAAAAACACTGAAGTTAAATTTAGTTTTGGAAGCAAAGGAGTTATTTAGACTCAGAATTTATTATTTTGGTGACTTTTAAAAAGATTTGTATCTGCCGGATTCTTTTGTCTGAAAGAAGAATATTGACTTTGATCCTGGAGAGGCAATATATTTGTATGTTTGTGTCTTATTCGTTAATGTTCGTTTCAGGTCAGCTATCTTGAATCTTAATGAGATCGTCTCCTCTTCAGACCCACAAACAGGCAGTACATTTTTTCTCTGTGCTGTACACTTGATATGTAGTGTGTGCACTTGAACCCAGTGCTTCTGGGCGTTTCTCATTTCCAGCTTCTCGGTCTGTAGGTTGGTGATGAACATCTTGACAGTTGTTGCTTCCTCCAGTATATTGGTCGTTGGTATTTTAGTTCAGCTTAGCAGAAGCTATCAGCATGTACTTCGTAAAATTGGACTGAAATTGGATTATTTTAAAATTCTTTAAGCACTTTTCACACTTGGCTATTTCCAGTATTGTTTTTCTTTCTGTTTGGAATGTTTAAAGTAATATTGTACTTAAAATATGGACTTGGTCTGTGTAAATTGTATTTGTTATTTCTTTTAATACATGAAATAGTTCAAGTTTTCTCAGTGGTTTTCTGCCCATCTTATGGACTGTTTGTGTCCAGTCTGAATGTCCTGAATTTTGGGAGATGAAAGATTCACTCTTACTTTGATTGCAGGATTCTTTCTGCTAATCCAGATACTTGTTGAAGTGCTGAATAGTTTCTTGGGGAAAGATGTCAAGGAAGAGTTTCAATTCATAGACTGGTGGGCAGAGATTGTGAAGTACAGAATAGCCAGCACCCCTCTGGTTCGTAGTAGCCTAAGGTCATTCATAGTGTGTCCCATCTTGTTTCCTCATTGTATTCTAATTATTCAGCTTTTTTTTCTTTTCTTTTTTATTCCATTGGTTTACAGACATGATTGTTTTGGAATGTTGATAGAAACACGTTAAAACTCTTACAGGTGCTAAGTAAACAGTTGGTATTTGATTGTTTTAAAAGACGACCATGTTTCAGTTAATGCTTATTTACAAAATGGGCCTTGATAGAAAACTGACCTTGTTTTAATTGTTTTTCAGGCATAAGAGACACATTTTTCTGCTGGGAATGAGATGTTCTTGAGTTTTTACAACTTTATGAAGAGACCCATGTGTGGTGCTATTGAGAAGTTTATTGGGAAGTTTGAAGACATTTCAAATAACAGATTGTTTTGGTTTCTAAAGTAAAAGTGGGGAGGCACTCGGTTTTGTGAAAGGAGGAAGGACTCAGGCCAGAAAACTTGTATGCTATGGTTAACTGGTTCCCAGCCTCCGAGAAGGTTGTTTTCCATGGTGTGAAACTTACTCAGCATCAGGATAAGGGATAACGACTCTATGGATATACAGAATCCTTCACCATGGTAAAACTCGCTAACCCGCTGTATACGGAGTGGATTTTGGAGGCCATCAAAAAAGTGAAGAAACAGAAACAGCGTCCCTCAGAGGAAAGGATATGTAATGCAGTGTCTTCTTCCCATGGCTTGGATCGCAAAACTGTTTTAGAACAATTGGAGTTGAGTGTTAAAGATGGAACAATTTTAAAAGTCTCAAATAAAGGACTCAATTCCTATAAAGATCCTGATAATCCTGGGCGAATAGCACTTCCTAAACCTCGAAACCATGGAAAATTGGATAATAAACAAAATGTAGATTGGAATAAACTGATCAAGCGGGCACTTGAGGGCTTGGCAGAGTCTGGTGGCTCAACTTTGAAAAGCATTGAACGTTTTTTGAAAGGTCAGAAGGATGTGTCTGCATTATTTGGAGGCAGCGCTGCCTCTGGCTTTCACCAGCAGTTACGGTTGGCTATTAAACGTGCGATTGGCCACGGCCGACTCCTTAAAGATGGACCTCTTTATCGGCTCAACACTAAAGCAACCAGTGTGGATGGGAAAGAAAGTTGTGAGTCTCTTTGCTCTTTACCTCCAGTGTCACTCCTTCCACATGAAAAGGATAAGGTAAGAATGGTGTCTGTACCAGTGTCCATGGAGCTGATGATACAGCATGCTACTAAGTCACGTTTCTAGGAAGTTTTTAGAAGTTACCTTCAAGTTTTGTGTTTGGGGACTTTGTGGGATGATCACGTCTAGTTTTTTTATTGGTGAGTTCTAGGTGTGAGAACCCAATAGATGCTAATTCTTCTGATGCTTTGAAATATTTGATGCCTAAGATTCAAAATGTAGAATATTGATTTACCTAAAAGAACGTATTTAGAGTAGAATTAAAAAATAGCATACAGCTTTAAAAGTGTTGCATAAAAATTCTTATAATACCTTAGTGCTGGAAGTTGATGGAGCAGCCAAGTGCTGGAGACTTGAGTTTGAAACAAGCAGGCAAATTTAGCAATTCTTATTTCTGCTGTTGGTATTCTAGCTTTCTGTCATGTATTATTCTTTGCATATGATGAAATCCTAAATGTTATTATTTGTGACAGGTGTAAGTACATGGGTCAGAAATACAGTATTCTATATTAGTGAAGTTCTGGGGTAGTTGGGAGTTTTGATGCACCGAAGGTGTACTTTACTGTGTTGTGTGTTTTATGCTGCTGTTTTGTGCGGTTGAAAGTATGTCTTCATAACTGAATTTTGGCCCTTAGATATTTGAGGATGAGGAGAATTTTGTTAGTAGCTGTTTTTTACATTGACCTAGTGTTTTAGCTGTAAATTTATTTCAAGTGCTTTGAATTGAGTTCTGTGGTGAGTGATAGTACTTGAAGTTGTTCCAAGCCTAGTATATAATAGTAAAATAATCTTTGTTATGCTTAAATTCATGGAGGCTACTTCTAGGATGAGAAGATTGTAAAGTTAACATTGAATGTATTTAAAAATGTTTGAGATTTCATCTAAATTTATTGCAGTTTAATAACTCACCTGTAGATTTTTGTTTAAATGGCAATTGGAAAGTTTTTGATGAAGTTTTTAGAGGTACATTTTAGTATTCAGTTTTCCCTGTGAAGTTTGAGATAGAAACATTATCATACTGTTATTACCCTTAAAATGATTCTGATAGAGTCGTGAATTTGGTAGAGAATCTCATCCCTAAAATGGTTCTGTATCATTTGAACATTTATGAAGAGTGTGGTATTAAAAAATTCAAGGTGGACAAGTAACTAAAATGCTTTATTCTGTAGTTCATACTGTAAGAACTCCTATCTCTAAGAACTGTTTCTTTTTTTTTTTGTCTTCTCCTCTTCAAAGCCCCCCAGTACATAGTTGTATAGCCTGGTTGAGTGCCTCTGGTTGTGCTTTGTGGGATGCCGCCTCAGCATGGCCTGATGAGCGGTGCCATGTCCGCGCCCAGGATCCGAACTGGTGAACTTAACCACTTGGCCACGGGGCCGGCCCTGCAACTGTTTCTTGATCACATGTGGCTAAAGTTAAATGAAGTATAATGATTGATTCCTTCAACTGTTACCAAATGATCTACAGGTTAACTGCATGGAAACAGGAAATTATAGTTTAGAATGAATTCAGTGTCATATCTGTGAATTGAGTATTAGAAATTCTTGTAAGAACACCTGGGTGCTTGCTTTTATTGTAATTTCCCCTGCTTGAATTAGATATTTTAATTTTTAAAAATATTAGCCATACATAAAATGTCAGTTATGCATATTTTTAAAAGGTAGTCAATATAGTACAATGTAAGACAAATCTGAGTCCTGTCAGCCTAGGATTTTACTTTTGAGAGGGACCTTGAGAACCATCTAATCTAACAATCCTTATTTTGCAGCTGAGCTGAGGCCTTTGTATTAAAATTTAATCCAGTAGAGATCTGCTGGTTCACTTTGGTTAGGAATATCTCTTTGGTTACATAACTTTAATATATAGTTTTGTTAACTGAAGTAACTAAATTTGGGAAAATTGAGTTTCATTGAGTAGACCTCTGTGTATGTGTGCTGCTCCGATTGGAAAACTAATTTCATGATAATATCTATGAAATTAGAGTTGATGAGAGCTGTTACATATTTTCAAATGGAGTCTTATTTTCAATAGTGAATTTCCTGAGTGACTTTCCCCAAAAGTATGAAAAGCTCATGTTCAAAATCACAATTTCATGAACTCTTAAGGTGAAGAATTATTCCACCTCTGAACAGGTTATATGTCTGCTCCTTTTATTGTATTTTAACTGTTTTCCTTCCTCTCTTTTAAACTATCTGATCAATTCCTTTGTGGAATTGATTGGTTTGCTGCTATAATCCCAGATATTCTTAAAAAAATTATCCAGAGTATATTTGATGGTGATGGAGAAAGGAAAGTGTAGGTCAGAAGTAGTTTCACTTTTGGGCATTAATTAATTTAGCAAATAGTTACTGAGCACCTGCTGTGGGCCAGGCACTTGGTACTGAGATGGCATTATCTTCTCTGGAATGCAGGTATGTCTGTTGGCCTGGTCAGCTGCGGGGTGAGAGCTGAAATTCAGGGACTATATGGAGTGACTTGAACAAGTTCCTCTTTACTTTTTTCTATATCAATTGTAACTTTTGGCCTTTTTTTTTTTTTTTGCAATACTCACCTTTGGAAGGAACTGTAGAACTGTATGTTAGATTTTCAGCAGCTGTGTGGTTTTTGTTCTTTCCTGTGAGATCAGCTGTGTAGAAATATTTCTAAGGGTTTTTGTGAAGACGCAAAAGTGTGTTTTCACATTGATAAATAGTGAGGAGAATCTGTGGGATACTGTGATTTAGAAGTTTTATTCATGTTATAGGGGAAATTTCTTTTTTTTTTTAAGATTTTATTTTTTTTCCTTTTTCTCCCCAAAGCCCCCCAGTACATAGTTGTATATTCTTCGTTGTGGGTCCTTCTAGTTGTGGCATGTGGGAGGCTGCCTCAGCGTGGTTCGATGAGCAGTGCCATGTCCGCGCCCAGGATTCGAACCAACGACACAGTGGGCTGCCTGCAGTGGAGCGCGCAAACTTAACCACTCGGCCACGGGGCCAGCCCCCATAGGGGAAATTTCTTAGCTAGCTTTAGAGTGTGGTAGTTTATGGTAAGTTTGTTTAACTTAATGATATGTTTACTATGTGCCAGGCATTACTTTAAAGCTATACATATATTAACTTATTTAATACTCATACAACTCAGTGAGGTAGGTACTGTTATTTGGCAGAAGAAGAAACTGAGGCATAAAAGAGGCTCAGTAACTTCTCCAAGTGACAGAGATACTAGGTGACAGAGCTAGGATTTGAACTCAGGCAGTTTGGTTCTGGAGTCTTTCTAACAGCTATACCTGCTACTGCCTCTTGAAAGTTATGTATAATGCCTGTTGCTGCACTCAAGTACACAATTGTGAATGTTCTTGGTGTTAACTTCATAGCACGTTCTCCAATTGTGGAAGGACACATTGCCCGCCTTCACTGTTTGTGTCCCTTTTTTCTCTTTCTGTCATAGAATGAATTATAAAACTGACTTTGAAACAGTGATAAGAATGTATCAGAAACCAAAGATTAGGAATAATCTAGTTTTGTATACCTGAGGTCCATAAAAATATAGTTTTGTCTACATGACATTTTGTTATATTTATTTTTTCTTAATTTCTGTGCTTATTAATTTTCATTTCACTTGTCACTAAAGTTTTCTGATTTGCAGTTTGGGATTTGTTGCATGGCTTTCATTTGGGACAAAATGTTGCTTTCCCTTGAATTGTGGGATATAGGTGAGGGTGATAGTGTGTAACTGGCTTAAACAGCAACTTCCTCCTTGCAGATTTCTTTCTTTTTTAAGTGTAGATATTACTATAAGATAATTTGTTCATTTACTTCATTTATTCTTTATTCGTTCAGCAAACATTTAGAGCCTACCGTAAACAGTGCGTTTAGGACTTCGGTCCTGTTGAAGATGAAAGCAGACAGCAGAAAGATGTGAAATAATTTTTTTGGAACCCTTTTTTAGTGTATGAAATGGAACTTTTAGTTTTTTACATTCACTATTATTTTTTCATTACAATTAGGCATTGTGAATCTCTGAGAAAAAAGGAGGTGTTTCTTGGGTGAGGTGAATTATTGTTTGATGTTATGATGCTCCGTTAAAAAAATTGTCTTTAGACACTGAGTCTTGGAAGGATCTGTTTCTCTTTCATGAATAATTTTCACCTTGATTTCAAACTTCTGGGTTCATTTTACACACTCACAGAATAATTTACTTGACTCTATATATAGCTTATGCTCCATATTACTAGTCCAGAAAACTATACTCTTTTATGGTAATCAGCCAAATCATTAAAGTGTTGTGATTCTGTGGAGTAGTATTGTGGAACAAAAGTGTAATTTGCTGAAGCATTCCAGTTGGAAAGGGAAGAGAAGATATTGTAACTAATGTTGCTATTTAGATTATTACACAGCTAGGTAATCTGAAGCAAAAAGATCAAGTGATAAATCTATATCCTTCTATTATAAATTATATCTCAATACAGTAAACTCTTAGTAGGGTCCAAATTGTTTTACGTTACTGAAATTTGGCATTTTAAATTCATAGATTAAGCAGGGCATTGACAGGAACTTAGATTTTTGATGTTAGAGATACTGATTAGAATGGAAATGTATTTTCAGTTTACTAAGAGTTAAGAATGATAAAATTTTGATTTAGCTGCTTGGAAATGGCCTTTATAGTAAAATTGTTTCACATTTTATATGTTAGAATAGTAGTAGTATAAAATTGTTTGTGACTGTAAGCTTGGTAATTTCAGTTTCAGATATCCTGTTGCTATGGTATCTTATAGTAGTTGTCCATGTTGTTAAATTCAGGGATGTGTTGACTGCTTGACAGAATGATTGTTCACTTTTAAAAAACCCCCCAAAAAAAGTAACCCAAAAACCTTCTGAAAGCAAAAGATGCTACAAAAAAGTTGAGAAGAGATAAATTAGTAGTAAATAAGTGGAAAAAGTTCTCAGTTGAAAGTGTATATATTAAGATTCCTTGTGAGAGCATGCACACAAGTGTATTTTATAGTATAAATTATTGGGAAACTTTTTAAATTGCAAGTTTTACTTCTTACGTTATGGAGGAGGGAATGGACGATGATGCCAACTGTATCAGTCTTTAAGTAAAGAAGGATTATTTTAGAGAAGATTATCCTAACCATATGTAGTTAACTTTATTTTTCAAGTAATGGCAAGGACATGGATAATGTAGATTTTGTAATAGGGAGTTTGCAACTGATTGATCTCAATAACTATATTTTTTATACATTTCTTACATCATTGTTTATGCCATTTTTTGCTGACTCTACGTGTTTTGGGCCCTGAAGAGAAGCTGGCTAGAAATTAATATTTGTTACTAACAAGTCATTGAGGTGGATTAAGTATAAATGAGGTTAGGAATTGACTTTGTCTCAGCAGACTTGGTCTTATAAAAAAAAAATCAGAAAAATAACTCAGGCAGAACTATGTTTGTAAAGCACTATATGTTTAATTACAATCAACTGTACAGATTTTTTTGGTCTTCTAGTTAGCCTGTGAGCTCTCTGCATTTTGGTAATTTTCAGCCCATAACACACCCTGAAAGAAAACTTGAGCTCCTAAAGCAAGCTTTCGTTTAGCCGTTGCTAATCAAAATGTCTGTACCTAGCCAATGCACACGACCTAGACATTTTTCGTGTACTTATAGTTACTAGCACTTTACTCATTCTTGGGCTAACTTCTAATATATTGATGAATGGAAGAAATGAATGACGATATCTGATACGACAAATTGCTTTGGGAATAGAGATCTAGAGGATCTAACCATCTTGACCTGTTTCTTTGCCCTGTTTCAGTAGGCCAAGGGAATGGAAGCAGTTGCTTATAGAAACCTATTAATAGCCAACATTTGTTAAGGGCTAACAATGTGTGGGGCACTGTTCTGAGTACTTTAATGTCTGCTCTGTTGTAGAAGTCTCAAAAGAGTTCAAAAGAACTTTACATGGTTAAGTTTTATAGGCATAATATATTTATATAATAGCTATTTGACAGTGTTTAATAATACAAGTTTTCATTGTGACTTCTCATAAAACACCAAATGGAAAATGAATCTATGCAAAAGACATTTTTCTTCTCATCCTTGCTGCTTTTTTTTATTTGGTTCATCCTGACACATAGGTCAATACTTTTTTACATTATACTTACCTTTAATACTATGAAAGCAAATAGGTAACAGGAACTGTTTGGCGAATCTGGAAAAAAAATTGTATTATTCCAGACCTCTTGAGGTTGTAAGAATCTCCTTGACAAATTTTCTTTTTCTCTTTCTATTTAGAATATTGGAGAAAATGTATTTTCTGCACTGACTTGGTTCTTAGCTATGTGAGAGGACTGAATCTGGGGGTCAAGTTTGCTGGTTAAAGTAGAATTAAGAAATTTTTTTCTAGTGAATTGGGAAGTGTTTCTTAAAATTACAATAATGAATACTTTTCATGCTCTGATTTAAAATTTTTTAAAGAAACAAATGTTACATATAGGAGTTATTAAGAGCCTCCCTCATTCTGGTAAACTTGTTTACCAATTGGCTCCTTGGGGGTGGAGTCAGTTCACAAAGGATCTGCAGCGGACGAATTAGACCAGTAGTGATTTCAGCCTTCTGCTTTTTCCCAGCTGGAGCAGGATTAGGACTCATTCAACTGCAGCTGGTTCCCAGGAAAATCTAGGCTGTTTTTTCTGGTTTTTTCCTTTTGACAGGCAAGTCGTAGTTCCCAACAGATGGCTTTCATCAGCACTGTACATAACTCTGTAAGTTCAAGTCCAAAGCATTGATTTCAACTTTATTAGGGAACAGGTGAAGAAACAGTCTGTACTATGGCACTAGTTTGTTAAGGGTTGAAATTCAGCATGAGGTTATAGTAGTCTAGCATTTAGATTTGCAGAATACGTTCTGGGTCAAAATAGTTTTTAACTGCCAGCAATTAAGGAGAAAAAGACCTGCAAAGAAAAAATAAGTCTGGCTATGCTGTTAAGCTATATTTTATAGTTGAATTATATTATGCTTACAAAATATAGATAAATTCCTAGGAAAAAAGAATAGAATCTTCTGCATTTTGTAGAGTTTCGAGCCAGTAGCAGTCTTGGGTAACAGTGATTGTAATATTATTTCACAAATAGAGAAACTCAGGCCCAAAGAGATTTAAGTGTCTTGTTCCATGCCATCTGGAAGAAGTGGTCAGACCCTTTTCGTTCTGTGCTTTTTTCATTAGGCTGTAGTACTGCTTTATAGTGTTAGAGAGCAATGAGTATAAAATAATGTAGTTAGAACTCTCTTCCTTAGTGGAAACCATAGAATAAACCCTGGTCTAGAGAATTTTGGTGGTTTTTGTAAACCACAAGTATGTAAATCTGCTTGTTTTGGCATTTGAAGATAGCTGTACATTCTAGAAAGTTGAAACAATTTTGGGGGGAAAAGACTGCTTTCTTACGACCTAAATTAGAGGAATTAGAAGGTTTTCTAATGTTTTTAAAAAGCTAAATATTAGAAGGAGAATGTGTTGAGCTACCTTAATGCTGGAAGAAAAAGTACTCCTTGAGTTTTGGGAGGAAAAATGTCCACTTACAAATAAGTCTCATTTTCAGAAAGTCTGCAGCACGGATGACCTCTGTGTGACTTGGGTAATTGGTCAGAACTTAAAATTCTTAAGACTGAGAGAGAAAAGTATAAGCCTTTGTATTAATTAATGAAGTGGTTCTTATTAAGAGGTGGGCTCGGCGTGTATACAGTGTATCACTCATTGTTATGTATACATAGTGTCTTGGTTCTGGATGACTAGTAATACCAGTGAACAAACCTTATAGGGAAGGCAGCAGATAACAGCTCATGTTTGTCTTTCTTGGTCTTTATGACCAACCAACAGTTCAACTCTGTATTGCTTTTACATTGTCATAAAATTTAGTAAATACATTAGAAAAATGGCAAATAAAGGTAAGATTAGAGACAGTTATAAAATCATGGGGTGGTTTTAAGATTATTAGTAAAATAAAATGTGGCAGCTAGAAAAACCTGAAAATCTTTGTATGTTGGAAAGAAGACAGCTGATTCCTTTGCCGTTTATCTTTTGTGCAGAAGAGGTGGATTCCATGTGTGTGGAGGTGTTAGCACGCTTATACTATAGGCTACTTTTTCCTCCAGGGAATTGTGAACTGTAGGTGACCTAGAGAGCTTATGTTAAGTGTTTGTTTTCAGTTCTCTCTGCTTATGCAGGTTTTGCTTTTTTCTTGGGCATTGGCTACAGTGAAGCATTTAATTCCTGAGTTTTCTAGAACCTGTAAGGGAACTCTTGGAAACATTATTACGTTTTTTTTATGTGTTAGGTGTGATGCTGTGCTTTAACGGTTCCCCAGCTTTTCTCTTTAGGACATCTTTAAATACCTGGCTTAGGGTTTAGATCCTCTTTCACCATTTACCTGTTTTCGTTACTTCATTTCTTCTCATGCCAGTTAGTTTTTCTTTAGTTCTATAACATAAATTTAAAGCCCTGTTCTTTCTAAAACAGTGGTTCTTGACACTAAATCCACTTTAGAATCGCCTGAGAAGCCTTAAAAAGTAAGCATCAAACCAATTAAATTAGAGTCTAGCATTAGGGCCCAGATTTCAGTTTTGTTTTGCTTTTCAAAGTCTCCATATGCATTTAAAGTACAGCCAGGGTTGAGAACCACTGCTCTAATGCTTAGAACCAACATCTCTCTAGTGGGAACTGGCTGAGGAAGTAAGGGGATAGAAGTAGCAGCTACTTTTTACCTGATAATTGAAATTCAGACAAATGCATGAAACAACATACTTCACACCTGCTCTCAGGAACACACTTTGGACCCTGGACAGTGTACTTCAGGAAACCTAAATTTTATTTTATCCTACTCCCTGACCATAACTGCCCTAATCTTCCACCTTTCTCTCTCCTCACTCCTACTGCACCTGCTCTTTTATCTCATCAAGGTTTCATAGTATATAGTGTAGAGAAGCTTCCCTGTGTAATTTCAATGGATGCTCCCCTCCCACCACTCAAATGCTCTTCTTCTAATTGCTTGGCCTATGGACCTCAGTTACTCACTTTACTCCTGCATCTAATTGGCAAGCCGCAACCTTGAAATTAAGCCAGTCATTTTCTCTCCCTGATCCTATATGAGACTGTTTATCATTTTGAAGAAATTCACGCAAACCGTGTAGTGGGGTGCCACTTACAAATTTGTGGCATCTAATCTCAGCTTTTTCCTCTGCTTGGGGTTGTATGTCTATGTCTGTAGTCTTTTCTCTCTGCAGCAGTTCAGTATTTTCTCCAAGCCTTTTGCCTTTCTCATTTTCAGCAGACACTCCCATATCCTACATCATAGAATAGAATCTATCTAGCCATATGAGCTCATTCAACTTATACCCCAGCCACACTTTCCTAAATACCTCTGTACTTATTTTTACCTCTTCTGCTATATTTTCAGAGGACATGAAAGAAGTGCCCTGTCTAGAGCTAATCTCTCCATTTATGTACAAGATCCTGTTCTCTCCTGTCTCAGGGGCCTTGTTCCATCAATAATGTTCCCAGTCTTTTTACTCTTTGCCCCTTAACATGGGGAAGTCCTCCCATCAAATTAGAATAAAAATAAACAAAAAACACCACTCCAGATTCTTCTGTCTACACCCTGTCTGTCTCCTTCCCTTCATTTTGAAACTGCCTGGGAAAAAGTCTGTATTCGTTCCAGATCTGTTGCAATCTGGCTTCTGGCCCTGAGCGCCATTTGAAACAGTTCTTGTGGACAGTTTTTAGTCTTCATTTTACCTGACCTCTCCGCAGCATTTAGCACTTGTTGACCATTGTCTCCTCCTTCTGCCTCTGGGATAATTCTTTCCTGTGTGTCTTCCTCTGTTCCTTCCATCTTTCTTGGTAATTAGTTTTCAGTTTACTGGCTTTGTATCTTTTGCCTGTATGTTAAATGTTGGATTCCCTAAGGTTCTGTTCTTTGGCCACTTCTTATTGTTTCAGCCTTTCTGAGATATCTCTAGACTTCCCTCCTCTATACTAAATTCATGTCTTAATCCAGACCTCTCTTTTGAGCTCTGGACTTGTATATCCCAGTGTTTAGTGTCTTATCTCAGTCACTTCACATTCATGATGACCCAGGTGGAATTTATCACCCTCCTCCAACTTGCTCTTCTGATTTCTTACTGTGGCGAGAGGCTTTGCTGTTGACTCTGATTCCTAAAACAGAAACTTTGGTGTCACCTTCTCCACCTCACTTGCACCTCTTTTGGATTCAGTTCTAGTCCATACCCAATCTTTTCTCTTCTACTTCTTTAACGTCTCTTAATTCACTTCCTCTCCATTCCAGATGCTACTCTCTTAGAGCAGGTCCTCATTATTTTTCTCCTGATTTACCTTAGTAGCTTCCTCGATTGGTTTTCCTTCCTCCAGTATCATCTCCCTCCAGCCCACATTATTGCCAAGAATGACCTTATTAGGAAGCTATTAAGAACATGGGCTCAAGAACGAGACCATCTTGGTTTGCATCTTATGTTGGTGGTACTTGCTTTATGACCTTGGGTAATTTGCTTCATCTTTCTTTGCCACATTTCTTTCTATAAAATGGGGATGATACAGTGCCCATCTCATAATGAAGTTGTGAAGATTTAATAAGTTAATATACCTCAGTGTTATCTAATAGAGCTTTGTGCCATGATGCTGTGTTCTATCTCTGTGCTCACTACAGCAGTCACTAGCCGTATGTGGCTATTGAGCTTTTGAAATGTGGCTAGTTGACTGAAGTACTGAACTTTTAATTTCATTTAATTGAAATAGCCACATATGGCTAGTAGCTACTGGACAGTACAGAATACGTAAAGTCCTGTGCTTTACAAATGTTAGTTATTATTACCATTTTTCTAAAATTAAACTTACTCCTCTGCTTAGAATCCTTCATTGCCAAATTTTATGGCATAGTATGTATGATTTTTAACCCCCTTCTTTATCCCTTGTGTTGCTCCAAACTTGTCCCGTGCTGGTTCTTCATATGCCCTCTGTGTTCCACTACACCAGTAGTTCTCAAAGCGTGGTTCTGGGACCAGAAGTAGCAGTAGTGTCATCTGAAAACTTGTTTGAAATGCAAATTCTTGGGCCATATTCCAGGCCTTCTGAATCACAGCTGGGGGTGGAGCCCAGCACTGTGTGTGTTAATAAGCCCTCCAGGTGATTCTGCTGCATGCTGAGATTTGAGAACCACTGCACATTCCAAACTGCTTGCAGTTCCTCTCATCCACCTTGTCCTCTCTTGTTTCTGTTTTTCTCCTGTCTGGAATGATCATCTTTTTTCTTGTGTTGACTAATTAGCTCTTATTTAGCCTTGCAGACTTAGTTTAGGCATATCTTCTTCCTATTTCTTCTTTCCTTATCACCCATCCTGCTTCCAGGCTGACTTATAGAGCTCTCTTCATGTCCCTGATATCCTGTACATACCTCTGTCATAGCCTGTTTTACGTTGTACTGTTGCGTTAGCCTGTCTCTCCGACTAGACAGTGAGTTTAGAATCTTGTTTTTCATCTCTGTATCCCCGTCTGTCTTGCACGATGTCTGGTATGCTTTGCAAGTATTTATTGAGCATCTTCCAGGTGCTAGCACAGTGGTTAGGTCCTGAGTGAAGGAGATACAGCCTCTGTAATTAACATACACAGTGATAGGTGCTCTGATGGGTAAAACAGAGTGCTGTGGAACACAGGAGAAGGGGGTGGGGAAAGTCAAGGAAGTCTTCTCAGAGGAAGT